TGCCTGTCTGTCTGTGTGTATGTTCCTTATAGAAACAAAAACTACTCGACGGATTTTAACGAAACTTGGTACAATTATTCTTCATACTCCTGGGCAGGTTATAGTATACTTTTCATCACGCTACAATCAATAGGAGCAGAGTAGTGAAGGGAAATGTTGGGAAAACGGGAGAAGTTACTCCATTTTTTAAGCTTCCGTCGCGTGTGGAGCCTTAATGGTTAAAGTTACATAGAAATCATGTATGACGGAAATATTCTACATAAAATTGTCTAAAAAATATCCCGCAACAGCATATGTCTATCTTTTATGGTTGACTCACAATAACACGTGTAACTCCTGATAGCTTAGCAGTTCGGAGCATTCTGATTATATTTGTTTACTCTTACGTTTATAATACTCTCACTCATCCCTAATTTAAAAAAGTTAACATTATTACCTATTCAATAAAAAAAGGATCATAGAAATCGGTATAGAAACACCAAACTTATACATGAAATAAGCCATCGCGCCGTCGCACGTGAATACTGAATCATGCTTTAAGGATTATTTTTGTGTAACGGCTGCCGCGCTCGACACGGGTCGTGGCGGCGCGGTAGGGTATAAAAAGGCGGGAGGTCCGAAAGCGAGCTTCCCCGCCCCCCCGATCCTGAGAGACCTTCAGTCGCTCAGTCCCAAACCGATACGGATGCACATCAGGGTGCATCCGTCCTCTAAGCGCACTATGCAGTAGTATTTACTAAGGCAGCGCTGCATCATCCCCTTCTCAGGGGTTGATCGCATCAGATGAAGCCTGTAAGGCCCTTAAGGCCATAGGCACCCCCCACGGGTGTGTTTTAGTCAGTAAGAGTCTGACATAACTCTACAGCCGGCTGTAGGATATCCATGAGGATTTCACACCCGCTCCCCCGCCTGGGAGGAAACAAAAAACAAAGAAAGCGAGCTTTATTCAATATTTGGCTGTTTCAGAGCGTTCGACCTTATTGACAGACAATAATTGATATTGAGAAACCGTGCTTATCTTAGAATAAAAACCAAACATTTGTAAACAAAATTAGCAAATAAATCATGTAAAACGTGTAGAAAATGAGTACTGGAAAACGGAAATATGAGAATTTTAGTTTGGTTATAAATACAGGTAATAAAAATGACCGTTATTATCTATATATATGTATATAAAAGTCAAAGGTGACTGACTGACATAGTGATTTATCAACACACAGCACAAACTACTGGACGGATCGGGCTGAAATTTGGCATGCAGGTAGATGTTATGACGTAGGCATCCGCTAAGAATTTTGATCAATTCTACCCCCAAGGGGATAAAATAGGGAATGAAAGTTTGTATGAAACTTTGTCAATTTTAACCCGATCGGGCTGAGACTTTGCAGGCAGGTATAAGAAGAATCATAGATGAATGTCATTGTGTATAATACAAGCCTGACAACAAAAACTGTAGTCTATACTTCAGCTCTACACCGAAGCGAAGCGAGGGCGGACCGCTAGTTTAAAATAAGATCTCACGCCTCAAGTGAGGTGATATTTACTGAGACGGATTTAACGCACTGATCCGTTATCTATAGAATTGTTCTTATACCGATACTCCCATTCACTAGCCCATTCTCCACGTCTATATTGTATCGCAACATAATTTTTACCATTTTGAAAAATCTTAATTTACTCGGTATTCAACCCGTTTTATTTATGTCGGTGAGAATACTGGACTCGAATAAAGTATTTCTAAGGTTTCGGGCGTCAACAAGTTGGTCTTGAGCTTTTATGTCGTACATTCGAGTAACTTTTCGTTCGTAAAATTTAAAAACTTCATTGTTGTGCTTCTTTCTCAACTTGGTCGTTTGTTGGATAAATACGCAGTGCTTTTTCAAGCGCAAACTCTCTGGTAACATTCATGTACAGGTCTATATACATTTTATTTTATACAGGCACCTATGTCAATATTTACACTATTTATATATGTACAAGTCAAAATATAATAGGTTTGTTATAATCTTGAAACCTGATCGAACCTGATGTTCGAAGTCCATTACGAGGCCTTTCTCACAAGTGCAAACACGACTTTGATACGATATTCCATCATGAAATGCCTGTGCCTAACTTCCGGCTTTATCATCAAACTTTGAAACCTTAACGTGGTCAAAGTTCATTACAAGACTTTTCTAAGAAATCCAAAAACAGCTATGATACGATGTTCCATCATGAAGTTCCAGTTCATATCTTACGGCTCCATCATCAGATTAGTTCGACGGTACCATATTATTGTATTGTCATCAGAACTACATACAGTTGGAAATTTTCATTACGCTACGATTCTTGAAAGATGGTTAAATTAGTTACCTTAGATTCCATTACATAATTAGTTACATACAGGTCAACGTAATAAAAGCGTGTTAAAAAATAATGGGAAATACTTATCTTCAAAAAATATATGATCACCTAAAAATATAATTGGTAACCTAAAGGCCAGGTTAGGCCAATAATTGTATTTTTTTGAGGATTAACTACTATCTTTTGATGATCATATAAATATGTGCCAAACATAATTGACTCCAATAAACTGACAACTTTCAGAAGTCCTCTTGGAGTACACCTACCAAGTCCTGTGGCAAAAAGAAATTGCCAACAAAATTGTGATTTCTTTTGTTAACTAGGTCCATGCAGTCGCTTAGTATTTAGCATAAAACTTCGCCAGCACCTTAAATTGTAGCGGATCGGATTTTACCTCTCATTAGTGAGTGAACACTAATGAGTATTTTTTTTGTATGTTATTCATCAAAATTAGAGACCTTAAAACATTTACGTATTTTGATAAAGGTGACAATTTTTTTTCTTCTAAAACACGGGGAACCAGTGTTAAATAAAAAAATCAAAACATTTTCGGAATAAATTCTGGATTTATCCAAGCACGTCATGATAGAAAATAACCGGCCAGCGAGTCGGACTCGCGCACCGAGGGTTCCGTACAAACCTGTAGGTATTTAATAATTATTAAAAAAAATGTGATGTAACTAAAAATTTACGGTTTTTGCAATTTTTCCTTTATCTGTGCTATAAGATGTTGCTTCGTACCAAATTTCAAGATTCTGAGTTCACGGGAAGTAAGCTGTAGGTTTTGCTTCCCTTGCGAGTTTCGAAAATTTGCGGCATAAAGGGCTGTATCTTTTGATTGCGTTGGCTTAGAAATTTGATTTATTTACACAGCATACGGAGCCCTAAAACACCTACACCCAGTAATTAAATATAATAATAATTTACATTGTAATTGATTGTGGGATATGCTAAGTATATATCATTACATCTAGTTCATTTGGTTAAATAGAGAAGCTGTTTATGCAGAAATGTTTTTCGTCATTAAGGTGATTTTGGACAGATCATAGCACACAGCCCCAAGGTGCAACAAGCAAGTATTGAATATCATGTTCTTTTTTTGTATTAAGATATCAAAATGCTTAGGATGAAACTTTCCTTAAAATATACTAGAAGTATGTTACACAACCAACATGGTAGTTTCCTTTAAAACCTAATGAAATGAACTAAAATAAACTTTCGCAAGGCATTTTTTTTTTCAATATTAGCCTTTATAGACATTTACTGATGTCATGTATACACATATATGGACAAAAATATAAAATAAGACATGAAATTAGTAATAAACAATAAAAAAACATATACATTACACAGAATTAAATAACAATTAGTCAATAGCACAGCGCAGAGCAAACTTAATTCCAAATATATTTATTAGAAGTTCGATGGCGTAGGTGGTTAGCGAGTTGGGCCAGCGATTGTGAAAATTAAGCAACTTTCAAAAATGTCGGTCACTGGATGGGTGACCAAAAACTTATTATCTCGAGCTCCTCCGTGCTCCGGAAGGCGCGTTAAGCCGTTGGTTCCGGCTTCATCTGCAGCCGTTATCTCCCACCAATCCGCACTGGGCACGCGTGGTAGAGCACAAACCACTCCCAGCAGCGCGACATCAATAGCTGGTGATAATTAAGTCTTCAACTTTATCATAAGCTTTACTAATCAATATTTTTTAACGTACTTTTTAAATTTTCTGTCTGTCAGTACATTATACAAACTAATTATAGCACAGCATTATAGAGGCAGTTCACCCACTGCAGCGCGTTACTTCGCGTAGCACAGATTTTAACGTTGTATGCAAGTACTCAGTTCGTATAGAAATCCCGCGACCTACCGCACACTGACCAAGCGTCGGCACGCACGCAGATTCCGCCAATCGGCGCTTAGGCGCGGGGTCTTCTGTACACGGGGTTGAGCGCCGCAATCCCGCGCGCGTTTCTAAACCGATGCGCCTACTGTGCGCAGATCACATGACGTGATCTGCCGCTCCGAGCTACGTGACGTAGCGTGCTGCAGTGGCTGAATCGCCTAACACTCGTAAGGTATAAACACTTTAAAAATTTAATAAAGAATGTTCATACTGTTAAATTTTTGTGACCACTGAGCTGTATATCAAGTAGGCGTTGGCTATGATTAGCCTTTGAGCATACGATCATTGTAATTATGCCACTTTCGCAAGGGCCGGACATACACACACTAAAAAATAATTCGCTCTAGCTCCTCCGTGTGTCGCAAAGCCCAACCGTTGTTACCGACTGCATCTGCAAACGTTACAACCACCAACAACACAGTGCCTGCGTGGTGGGTAATGTCCCATTCTATTCCTAATTCCATCCATAGGGAAGACCTGTGCCCTAGGAGTTAGGACATTAATAGGCTGATGATTATGAAGCCAAGTATCATGTATGCGCTAAACATGTTCAAGATTGGTTTTTGCAAACAAGCAAGCCTGATAGTAAGCGGCCGCTATAGCCTTTAGACACTTGCGATACCCTAAACAAACTGAAGACAGAAACGTAACACCACCAAAAGCTAGTTATGTCATGGTCTTTTTTTACGGAAGAGGTGACGTGCAATCCAAAAATTTGCTTATGCCTCTCTTGAAAAATTAAACATTATACCTGAACACAGCTAGCAATCTCTCGGCACGCACGCTGTCCCCATCGTACACGTACAGATGGTCCCAACCGCACTCGGTCGCGAAGCTCTCGAGACGCACGCGCAGCGGAGGCGGCGCCGGCCCCAGCCAGAGCGGAGATATGAGCCACGAGCATTGCGTGCTCACGCTGTAGTTGCCCGGCCCATCTGTTATGATGCCCGTAGGTGCTGTCAACCTGGAAAAAAAAAAGGAGTGAAACAATAGGGACGACGACAGGGTAATGTAAACGAAATTCTATTAAGTGTTATTTAAACAGCATAATAGCATAAATAATCACATAAAACAGCATAATAATCATATTTTTCTTAGTGAAAAAACATCAATTGCCTAGCCAAAACAGCTAATTATGTTCAGCAAATATGAAAATATACAAAAGCAGCATTGAGTGACCCTGTGCATAATCAAGTTTTGGTAAGCACTCAGAGAGTAAGCAAATAATTCAATTGTTTGCCGCTAATATCAAGTCTAGCAAAAATATTATACTAAAGGGTAAAAATATAGATTAAGGTCTGTCAATTTAAGGACGGTAGCAGAGGAGGGGACGTGAGGAGGAGGAGTGGGGAGGGGTAAGGGATAGCCCCTCTACCCATAAATCCTCTTTCCCACCAAAGCAAACACATATTATTTTGAAAGATAAACAACAGTAACTCCATCAAAGCTTTTTTTTCTGGTGCATCGCCAGCCGCTGCGAATGCACACTCACTTAGCTCGCTCAGCTCGCGCATTTTGGTCAAAACATTAATATAACCTAAGCTAATGATTTTTATATTCAATATGGACTCTATGGTAATAAGAGAAAGTATCTTTTTATCTTTCTTTCAATAGATTTTTCAATAAATTTAAGCACACCAATCAAACATGCTACTTGAAGTACTGTCTTCTCTGATGCCCACGTCTATAATCTTGCTGTCCAAATAATTATTTTCAGGTCTGAATTTTTATTTTGCCTACGGATGTAGGGCGTGTACATAATAAAACAAGCTGCCTGCTTATGTTTAAAATTACTGACCATTATCATCATTATTTACAAAAGAAGGATGGCAGTCTGACTTAGTTTACATCTAAGAAAGTATTTTTATGCTGACAAAATAATTTTTAGGCTGATTTTGTTTGCTAACCAAAATTTTTAAATGCCATACCAAATAATTGCTTCTGCAGTCTGTTTAGTCTGTCAGTTAGATTATCAAAAAATAATGGACACCTATTTTTTTTCTTTTGTCAATCAACCACAAAAAAAATTATTAAAATAATTAAGTGCTTCAAAGTTTGGAGATTGTGACAACTGAGTAAAAATTTGACCAAGAAGTAACAGGCTTAAAAATTTAACTCTGTAAAGTTTTGATTACTGATACATCAATAAAGAAAAAATCCATGTCCTATGATTTTTTGTTAATCTACCTGATAGATGAAGAAAAAAAGTTGGTCATCATCTCTATTATGTTAGATGTTATTAGCTTTCTTCTGTACTGCACAAAATTATAGGCCTTTTGTGATGTGAAACAAAAATGTTTTATGCATTGGACAACTAGCTTGAGCTGCCTTCAAAAATAATTATAATAATAGACAGCAAATATTTATCCCCATAGCTTGTGCTATTATATGGTATGACAGTAGGAAAAATCAAATCTCAGTCTTAGTCTTAGTAGTACGGCGGGCTGTTTCTGCAACTCGACACCCATAAAAATAAAAGTGTCCACTAAAATAATAAAAAAAATGACCACCGAAATGATACAGCCAAGAACATCGCCTTTGTAATAAAAGGGTTCCCTACTATGAATCTAAATAAATTTCCTTATTCTTTGTAAATATTTTTGTTCGTTATTTAATAATAAGAATTTTTAAGTGCCTATTTTGGGTGGTGGAAAAAGCATGTATCCATCATATAAACATTTAGGTATGCCACTCTGAGATTCAAATTTATTCTATCTAATGCCATTGGGTTTGCAGTTAGGATCACTGACCACCACCTGTTGGTGGTGGGTGTGCGTTTCACTAGTATACTGCACACAATTTAGCCTTTTGTGACGGAAAACAAATTCCTTCGGAAACAAGTTCCTCATATATACTATGAGATAATATTTATGTCCTTTACAGATATTCAAGACATATTTCCAATGGATATAATTTGAGGAGCTGGCAAACAAAACGGTATAATTACATCAAATTAAATTTTGCAGGAGCAGTAAAAAACTGAATGACAATGACCTCCAGTGAGCTTTTGGTGTGATTTTTAATTCAGTAATTTTAACACTATTTTAGGTGGTTTTGACTGACATCAGTTGAAATTCAAATTCAGCTGGCCCAAAACCACTGGACCGTTAACAAAAAAGTAGTATATTGTGAAAACCATATGAGTAATTATACCATTATATTCGCCAGCTCCTCATTTAGGATGTAGGAGTGCATTATAATAATAAACAAGTTAAATCTGTCCATAGGTGATGTTCTATGAAACAAAGAGGCACAAAGTATAGTTGTTAGATACACTGACTGATAGTCAGTAACAATGAAAATAATTTACATGATAATACTAAAAACTAGGCATATAATTCTTATATGACAAAAAGGTTCATTTTTTCAACAAAAAGTTTCATTTGTCATATATGTGGTTATAAATGCTGAACTCAGTCAGCGTTCATGGTAAATCAACTAGTACAGTGTTTCATGAAACATTTAGCTACAAATATTATGCTAATAAGATAGATTTATTAAAGCCTTAATTTCAAAGTTTAAATCAACATAGCAAAATTATCAAATCAACTAAAAAGTTTATAAATAATGTTCATATGGAAAACCTAGAATTTAAATTGTAATTTACTTGTCATGCATTTTCTCACAGTGTAGCAACAGAAAACGCAACCTTCCTAATGAGCTCAGAAGAAAGTGAAGAAGCCAAATAAAAGATAATTGGATAATCCTACACTTGCTTTCTCTCGCAAAATCACACTTGTTTTTAATATGTAGGCGCGCCTGTCATATAGGTCACTGAACCTGTAAATTCGCCACCAACACCAGAATACCTAAAAAACATAAATCGGGGCGTACTTACTTAACTTTCCCACCGCAGTACTGACACTCAGGACCCTGCCAACCCTCATAGCATACGCATGTATCATTCTTACACACACCATTTAGACAGTTATGGTCACTACACCTAGAAAGTACACCATCACAAAACAATAACACTATGAGGACTGAACATAGGAACGGTGAGAACCATGAGACTTTTCGTCTGTATTTAGATTTGAACAGAAATAAAAACATTTGCAAAGCTTCTACCATTTTGCTTTAAGCATTTTCAACGAGGTTTCTAAGCGCGGACGTAAACGCAGCACCACGAACGTCGCGTAGTTTTCGTACGGTACTAAATTTCGGGTTGACATGTGTAAAATAAATTCTCCCCAAAATAATTTTATATTTCGCTATTTGCGCTGCTTTCACGACTATTATGTAACGTAAGTACAAGTTGATATGACATGACAGTTTCTATAAATAATAAGAACCTGATCGATATGAGGGAAAAAAGAGAGCAAAAGACAATAAGGAAAACATAAAAAATCAGCAATTGAGAAATCGTTTCGATGAATGTCCATTTTATTAACATTGTAAATATTGTAATGCGGTGTTTCCACTTAGTGCTGAAAACAGTTCTGAGCAAACGATCATTTTGTTTGTTTGTTGAGAATACAATTAATTAATTAATTTACTCCTTTTTCCTTCCTTCCTTCCTTTCTTGATCGTTAAATGATTTTGTCAAATGGTCGGTGTTTTTGTTTTTTGTAAAAAATGATATCATAATATATTCAACTTGAACAGTTTTTCGGAAACATAATATTAAGTTAGACCTTTATACAAATAACATAGTTTCTTAAAATTTTTATTCTACGGCCAGAAATTACCGATTCTATAAATTTTTTGACAAAATGCGCGTCTCTAATGACAATAAAGGACAAACATTATTTCTTTCAAATTTAGAACTAATTTCAAATTTCGAATATGAAACCTCATGGGCGCACAAACGTCAAAACAGCCATCATAGCGTTACCTACTGCTTTATAGTTGTTTTGAGCAAACATTTGTTTTGAACAACAAAGACGTATCGTACAGTTTTTCTATAAAGTCGTGACATGAATGTTTGAGGAACTAACATTATTCATGTGTCTGGCAACACCAAACTTATGTACATCAGCTGTCATCGAGTTTCAGTTGTGGAACAGTTTTCCATTTGTATTTTTTATTGTTTGGATTAAACTGTAATAAATGAAGACGAAACTACGCAGAAAGGTATACAAATGAGTAAAGTAAATCGGAGTGGCACGCGGGAAGTGATTTTTAAAGTTTTCCAGCGATGTTTCGAAGACTACCAAGCTGGACGAATTTTGTGGGATTTGGATGATGTTTATGGGCGAACATTTAACATCAGTCTCTCCTTTTCATTCTGTATAGAAAATGACAAGGATATACTGCTGTTAAATTTAAGTTTAATAGAATCATGCTAGAATTGACACCATTGTAAATTGGTAATATTGTAGTACGACCATTTCTTTTGATACGTTATTATGGTTCAACTCGGTCAGGTTTTCTACCAATTTTGAATTAATTGCTTCATGTCAGTAAGTTATTGTTTCTGTCCCGTTACATATATTTTTACTTTTTTCAGGAAAATCAGAGAGTTGGATAGTCAACGAAGGTTTTAAGAATGATTGAAAGTTTGAAACTCCTGGGAATACAGGCAAGGCCGACCAAAGAAAGAAATGGTCACATAAAGAACCATGGCCAGATGCTTTTAGTGAAGATACCTATCACTAATTTTACTAACTGCACATTTACAAATTGTTTCTTTAAATAAACTTTTTATATACTATAAAATGGTTTTCAGTATTATTTTCTTAACAAGTGTGTTAAAAAACGTCGTATGATGATACTTGTGTGTATTGATGATTACCTAACGGCCCTGGTCTCAACGGCACCTCAGCGGTAATCACCAACATTACACACTTTTACACTATAAAGTACTATTTTATCTATAATATTTTTATTCTGATTCAATTAAATATGCTTGGCTAAACTTTTTATAAGCATAGTACCTACTACATATAAAACAGAAACAAAATACGACTGTATAGTGTGTCTTATTAATTACCTATTTTACTTGAATGAACTGCTAGTATCAAAATCATTTTGGCCAGACTGTATAGGGTTGCTACATGCATACTAGTGGCGCCATCATTTAATGTCACGACTTTATAGACAAACTGTACTTTATTTTTGAAATAAATATATTTTGGCTGCTCTTTGCCTTACTAATATTATAATAACAATTTCTAATATTTTTTAAGAAAGCTTTTACTGTCAAAAATATGCTGTAAGCAAATTATCGCCTACTACATATTTTTTTTGAAATATAATATTTGATCCCCTAATATAGTAGGATACCATAATTTATAACAGGGTTGGCAACCTTGGTAGTTTTCCAATTACAGCATTATAGCGCATTATGCGGCATAATGCTTAACGTTGAGTGTTTCAACTACAGCAACGCTTCGCACAATCGAGCACTCTCAAAAGTAATGCTTTCGTGTGATGTGTGCAATCGTACCAACTCAGTGACAGAAACTTAACAAGTGTTTTTTCTTTAGGTTGGCATTGATCGAAATGTTTTATTTATATGCTATCGTAAGTAATATTATTTATTGTTGAAAATATATTAAAGCCTTCGTTCCATTAAATAATCAAAGTTAATTCAAACTGTTAAAAAAATAAATATAAGTATGGATGAAGGTACAAATATTGACTTTTTTTTCAACACTGAACTTAGCGCACCCTGTTGGTGCATTTGAAAACTAATTTACGTTCCAATTATGCATCAGCATAATTCAGCATTGTGTGCCACTGAGTCGCATTATGCTCTTTAATTGGAAAACAACCCTTACCTACAGTCCAAGCGGCGCTGGTGAATTCAGAATCTAAAACAAGAATGACCTTAACATTCCGGTAAAGTCTCTGATTCCGAACCCTGCGCGGGCAACCAGTTGCCTGCTGCCACTATGGCCACACACCCTGCTTAAACTAAGTTGTTGTGCACTTTTTATTTCTCGCGCTTGTTTTCTGAGTCTGAACCTGATTTTGAACCAGCGTGCACTGTGCACTGTGGCCGTACCCTCAGAGCCTATAACCGTCGATAATGGATGCGTTCGAGATAGGAAAGAAATGTATTAACATAATGGTTCATTTCAAATATTAGTTTTGAAGTAATCCTGTTTTTGTTGATATTTTACTTTAGAAATGATGGAACTATTACCTTTTTTGAGGTATTCCACAGCACTTACAAAGACTTTTTATAGATTTATCAAAACTTATAAATGCCATGGACATCCTTCTACATTCGTTGTGACATTGACATTACTGTCAAGTCACTCCTCGTGTCACTAATATTTTGCATTCTTTACTAGTTAAAGTATTTTTTATGCTTGGAGAAGACTACTACTACAACTTTTTTATTTTAAAAGAAACTGAATGGTTCGGTCAATCTAGACATTCAAAGATACTTAAATTTACATTAAACTGGAAGTGAGTAAAATTTTTCAAAACAAGTTTAAAATTATCATTTCTAAATTTCGTTTATCGTTCCGATACTCAGAAAACAATTACTCGAGGTCAAAGGTCAAAAAACTGGTGTTTCCGGGATTTTCAACAAAACGGTATGTTTTATCGTAAAATTACTTCGCACTTAAATTGTAGATTAAAAATCATCTATAAAAAAGGTATCAAAATTCCTAAGAGCCACCATTCCTTAGATATAAGTATTGAAATTTTTGTACGCGTCATAATATACAAACGTTTCCACGCCACCTCTAATCTAAGGTGTACAGGTCGTGGCACGTAACTCTAGCGCTGAACAAAACGCGGGGGGGATACTGGATACTGTCGCGCACGCAACGCAAATTAGTAGTTTAATTAAGTACTTAATTAATGTTAATTACATTATTTTACTGTAAATCTTAAAAATATCAAATAGTAAGTCTAGCGGTGAACAAAATGGGAAGCTAACTTCTATTTGGGTACTGTACTGTCACGGTCGCAAATGTTACTACAATCAATATTAGGTTAGTTTTATAATGCGATTCAACTAAAAATAGGACCGACTGGGCGCCATATTTTGACGTCAATTCAAACCAAATAGGTGGAGTGAGCAAAAAATGTTGCTATTTAATAAAACTTATTTACTAAGATTAGGTGAGACAAAACATCAGATTTTTTAATAAAATTTATTTACTAAGGTTGAGAAAGAACACAACCGATTTTTAATAGTATTTCTTTATTAAGACTGTGTGAAAAAGAACATTATCAGAATCTAGCTCTTCAATTTCGCTCGTCTCTGCATTACCGCCGGAGAAGTTATGAATAATCATGCAGGTCACATACGAACATGCATCCTTTAAGTAAACGAAAGTTTTAAATCGAGTTTTTGAACGCAACATAAAGTGACATTTAGTTGAGGATTTAGGTTATCAACCATTCATAGCCAAAGCTCAATAAGTGAAACAAAAAAACAACTAATATTAATTATCAACATTTGTTATTGGTGTCGATTCTAGCATGATTCTCTAAACCTAAACTTAAATTTGACAGCAGTATATCCTTGTCATTCTCTATACAGAATGAAAAGGAGAGACTGATGTTAAATTTAGTGTTAAGTTTAGAGAATCACGCCAGAATTGCCACCATTGTTTGTTTAAAAATGTTTGGTTTTTATTCTAGAATCAGCCGAGTGCTAAAAAAGTGATCCGTGATTTTTTTGCAAACCGTATTTTTCAAGCGACATTTGACAGATGGAGGTCATTGACTTTCCTATTCTTATTCGAATCGCATTATAGTTAATGTTCAAGTGTGCCAGAGTTCTGTTCTCGAATATGTTCTCAACAATAGGTAGGTTGGTATGTAATATAAAAACAAAACATAAAATCAGTCTGTTATTGTGCTTGTAAGATGCCGGAGCCTACACTAGGTACCTACTACATAAATCTGATGCTTGATAGGATGTGCGTTTTTCGACTTGCCAGCACGGCACCAGCGCCTGCGGGGAAGCTAAAGTGTATGATATATTATAACGCCTTGCTATTACCATTACTTACGGCCAATGATAAAACGACCATTTTATGTTACCCTACTATATCAATTTATACAAGTTTATGGGAAGCAGAAAAATAAATACATTATAAAATTTTACATTTTTTAATAGATATCTAGTATAGTCTAGTCCGAATTACATATGAGCCTACTTAAGTCTCTACACAGGATAGCGGAAACCTGCGAGTTCGGCAGGGTCTGCATATCAGATGCTGCATGCTATCTTCCAATAGGTGCCCCTAATTATCCGAATCAGACAATGATAACACTACAGGGAATTTTGCTCGCTGAGTTGAATGGTAAAACCGCCTGGTCGTAATTATTGGTAGTTTTCCAATTGCAGAGCATAATGCGACTCAGTGGCGCACAATGCCGAATTATGCTGAAGCCTAATTGGAACGTGAATTAGTTTTCAAATGCACCAGCAGAGTGCGCTAAGTTCAGTGTTGAAAAAAAAAGTCAATGTTTGTACCTTCATCCATACTTATATTTATTTTTTTAACACAGTTTGAATTAACTTGGATTATTTAAAAAAAGCTACAATGAACGAAAGCCTTAAAAAATTTTCAACAATAAATAATATTACTAACGATAAATAAAACATTTCGATCAATGCCAACTTAAAGAAAAAACACTTAATTTTCTGCCACTAAGTTGGTACGATTGCACGCATCACACGAAAACATTACTTTTGCGAGTGCTCGATTGTGCGAAGCGTTGCTGTAGTTGAAACATTCAACGTTAAGCATTATGCCGCATAATGCGCGCTAGTGCTGTAATTGGAAAACCACCATTACCTTCAGAAAATTTACAAAGTTATATTAAACTTGTCTCCTCAAGAGGATTATTGAACAGAACCTTGCACTTAGTATCTTTTTTAAACTTGTTCATGTATTTTAAAATTGTTTACTCCATATTTTGGGGCGTTTGTATATTTTTTGTTACCTTTTTTTTACATTATGTGATGGAAGTTGACCTCAATACATGTTAATAAGTTTGATATCAGCTATAATTTTTATTATTTTTAAAGCATGTAACTGCTTGATGTTTAAATCTGAAGAAAATATAACTAGAAAAAATTCCACGCGGACCAGGCAGCAGACGGGACCCGAACCCGCACCCCTCGCAATCCGGGCGAATGCACCGACCAATTATGCCACCGCGGCCCCCACGGACCGCGTCGAAATTCTTTCTAGCTATTCTTAAGCTGCAGGGCAGCGCCATCTCTTCGCATTATAGGTAAACCCACAATGTCAAATGAATACTTTTACAAGTATTAAGCATTTGAAAGAAGAAATAGCAATTATAGTTATTATTTTTATTATTTTTAAAGCATGTAACTGCTTGATGTTTAAATCTAAAGAAAATATAACTAGAAAATGGGGGCCGCGGTGGCATAATTGGTCGGTGCTTTCGCCCGGATTGCGAGGGGTGCGGGTTCGGGTCCCGTCTGCTGCCTGGTCCGCGTGGAATTTTTTCTAGTTATATTTTCTTTAGATTTAAACATCAAGCAGTTACATGCTTTAAAAATAATAAAAATTATAACTATAATTGCTATTTCTTCTTTCAAATGTTTAATACTTGTAAAAGTATTCATTTGACATTGTGGGTTTACCTATAATGCGAAGAGATGGCGCTGCCCTGCAGCTTAAGAATAGCTAGAAAGAATTTCGACGCGGTCCGTGGGGGCCGCGGTGGCATAATTGGTCGGTGCATTCGCCCGGATTGCGAGGGGTGCGGGTTCGGGTCCCGTCTGCTGCCTGGTCCGCGTGGAATTTTTTCTAGTTATATTTTCTTTAGATTTGATATCAGCTTTCAATTTGACCACACTGGTGTCGATTCTAGCATGATTCTCTAAACCTAACCTTAAATTTGACAGTAGTTTATCCTAGGGATGTCGAAAGTTGAAAAAAATATCGATATATCGATACATCGATATTTTAAAAAATATCAATATTGGCTTCGATATTTCGCGAAAAAAAATATCGATATATCAATATATCAGGCCAATTTTTCCAAAAATATATTTAGGTCAGCCTAGCATAGTAATAATAGTTCAATACAAATTATAATTAAAGAAAGAATTATCAAAGTACCAAATTGCCGCTACACTACATGACAGTACAGTATCTCACGAAATATGACACGCGGAATAATAATGGAACGAAAATTATCTGCCTAAAAATAGACCCTATTTTCGAATGATGAAAATGCCAATGCCAGGGCCTCTCAAGTGCCATCTTTCGTAAACAAGACTAGACAGTCACACACTTCCACAGAATATAATGGAAATCAGCACAACCAATTCACCAGCGAAACAGATTTACAAATAATAGACAATACTAAATACAGCACAGATCATAGATATGTTGAATATCATTAATCTGAGATCTAGTTACGATTTTTCCAGATACGAATTTAGTTAGATCGTGATATGCCGCTAATAATTAAAAAGATTTTACGTGACAACGTCTTTTTCTCGGTAGAATATTTATTGATATGAATATAATTAAATTGCACAATAGGAACAAGGAATTGAATGAAAATAAGAATTGCACAAATTTTAACTATAGAAATATATTTTGTTTACTAAAACATTGTACATGTAAACTTAAACTTAACACGAGAGACTCATCGTAACGTTACCGAGCGTTACACTTTTTCATAAGTGACTCCCAGCCGCAACCTAATTTAAGACGTTGTCACGTCAAAAAATATCGTTTTTGATACGAATTTCGATATTGGTTATTTTGTATCGATATATCGAATCAAAATATATCAGCAAAAAATATCGATATATCGATACATCGATATATTTTCAACAAGCCTAGTATATCCTTGTCATTATCTAAACCGAATGAATAGGAGAGACTGATGTTAAATTTAGTTTTAAGTTTAGAGAATCACGCCAGAATTGGCATTTCCTTCAACGAACAAAAATATATACACATACAGTGGGTATGTGTATATATTTTTGTTCGTTGAAGGAAATAAAGCGACTTCTCCAAAATAAATGTATTTTCTCAACTTCCGTTACGTCATTAAACAGAGTTGAAGTTGAGGACCTCTTGGCCAAGAAGTACTCCGCTGTCCGTCTGTTCGCTTTTAAATTGATATACAGATTTCTTTTAAATTGAATTGATATTCGGACTTTCGACTTTCATATGTGCTTGTAAAAGCCTAAACTAATTAAATGAATATTGATTTTGATTGACTAAGCAGATATGTAGTTTTAATCGTTATATCTCGAAGCGGTGACTTAGGAAAAAAAAAATATACCCTTCTTTTAGATCAGACAATTTTTGTTCGAGGTAATTTTACGATAAAATTTACCGTTTTGATGAAAATCGCGATTGACCTTGAGGATTTTTTTTTCCATGAATCTAATCGTTGGGGAATTTTGAAAATGTTATTTTCAATTATGTTTTTGACAATTTTACTCATATCCAGCTTAATCGAAATTCATGTAACTTCACTCTTATTATTCTGTCTAATTTGACCGGATCAGAATTTCTGTTTAAAATTATTATCTCATATAGTGCCATGTGTTGTTGTTGTTTTCGAGGAGACGGCTGTTGTGCCACTTGTTTGAGAATTGTCTGTTGCATTACTTTATGTACTTTTTTGTGTCATTTGTGCAATGTTGACTGTGAAGAGTGCTGTCCTGATATCGACGGTTAAATTTAATTTGATGCATTTGGTCAAAATATTCATTACAGCAGAACATGGATTACCAGTATCTAGCAAATTGTTTTTATTGCTTCCATTTGCATTCTTTGTATAAGTTTTCTTTACTTCAATGATATTGTGAACATCCTAAATTAAATAAATGCTATCGTGATTGAGTTAGTTTTCTTCTCTGAAAGAATTTGCCACTTCTTACTTCAAACTGCTGTAAAAAGATTAATTTGTTGGTTTATGGGTCAGGCCGCCATTTTTTGCTGATATGGCGCAGAAGTATTGTGTTGGTGGCGTAGAAACTTCTACGCGTCGGTGACGTTGAGTAGCGTATAATAGTGACGAATAAATGTTAAGGTTGGCATACACATGCCAAAATATTAAGATTAAATTATGTTGTATAACGTAATTGCACCAATTATGGACACTTTAAGGATGAAAAGGTGGGTTTTTGCAGGATTATTCCTAATATATCAGGCTTTTGTTTAAACATCAATGTTGAGCTTAATGTCCGTCTTTTTTCCTTTATGCTTATGCCGAAAAAGTTAGAAATAACCGCATAAAAATGAGAGATATCATTAAAATATAAACATGGTTTTTTAAGCTAGTAATGGACAAGGAAAATCATTTAATGGACATCCAGTGATGAACATGCACCAAATATGGACATCCAATAATGAACACAATTTAATAATGGACCCCCACTAATGGACCAGTTCGTTGAATTTAGAATAAGAAGTAGTTCCCTATATCTAAGTAAATAAAAACATCAACAATTTTATAATCAACTAGACATTTATTATATTTTTATTTTTAAAGCATTTATTTGCTAGATTTTAAATCTAAAGAAAATTTTTACTAAAAAAAATTCCACGCGGTCCAGGCAGCAGACGGGACTCGAAACTGCACCCTCCGCTATCCGGGCAGATGCACTGACCATTATGTTACCGTGATCTATGCCTTGCAGCCTAAGAAATACAAGCTGAAATTACACGAATGGGTTTAGTTAGTATACATACATACACTCTCGAAAAACATTACCCTCCTTTCTTCGGCAGTCAGGTAAAAAGTTAGTATAATAAAAAAGAAATGGATACCTACCTTTATTTGGTGGCGTAGAGGAGGTGACGAATATCTACGCTACCGTTGGCGTTGAAGTACCAAAATGGTGGTGTATTTCAACTTCTACGCTATCGTCGCGTTGAGAAAACCACATATCTCCGTAAATAAAGTATGATTTGAGTTGCATTATAGCTCCAAACATGGCTTTCACTTCTACTAACATGATGCACTATTTGTTTTTAGTGTAACTAACTACTTAAACTTACTTTCATCAAGCTTCAAACTTACTTTTTTATGCACAAAAATCTTACCTTGAAAAAATTGTGTACACAAACTACACCAGACGTTCACATGTCAACTGTCAAAAATATAGCCGCTCATCAAGCCGCTGTCCACTGATTACAGAAACTCAGTGTTGCCATTTCCCGATTTGAAGTTCACCGATTCCTAAAGTTTAATAGAACATGGAGAATAGGTGGCGTTGACAAAAGTGGCGTATAAGTACAGTTTTTGACGAAAACTTATTTGAAATCATTTTCAAGGAAATTCTTAGGATAAACGTTGCTAAATTAAAAGCACGGATAGCTATTAATATAAGTATTCTTATAGTATCAGCCATGTCTCAAAAACTGAAATACTTTTTGCTACTACGATAGTTAAGTGCACCTCTACCTCGGCGGATAGAAGTTTTTATGTAATTTTACTACCTTTTTTCAGATTTCATTCGAAATATATTTTTTGTTTATTATCTGACCTGAAATAATCATAATGTCCACTTGAGTCACTTTGTTGCTTAATCCAAAGCCGTTATCGAAAATCCGATATCTATAATACTTTTCAAAATACTGACCGCGTAGAAAACAGTTTTCAAAATCAGCAAAAAATGGCGGCCTGACCCTTATATTGGGTTCAGAACCAGGATTGGATTGAGGGGTGTAGACTGTGGATGCCCTGAGGTAACGAAGGAATAATCAGGACTGGATTGAGAGGTGTGGACTGTGGATGCCCTGAGACAACGAAGGAATGCAAGCCCCTAGGGGCGTTATTTAAAATCAGGCATCTTTGGTATTTTATCCTGTAGCTATCAAGAAAATAAAGATACGGGTCACTTAGTTTTAGATAATATATAGATACCTATATTATTTAAAATACTTACATTTGTGGTATAAATCGTAATTCTATTTGATTTTATGGCCACCCTTACGTTCTCGCAACCTTTCGTCCTCGCAACTTCCAGCGTTGGTGATCGTGGATCCTAGATACACGTAGCTGTTAACCACCTCGCATCCCGCTCTAACTTTGACATCTGGTTGGTTAATGTCAGCACGATCCACGATCATCATTTTCGTCTTATCACGGTTGATTGCTAGTCCAAAATCCATGGCCGTGGTCTCAAGACGAAGAAGCAGAGTTTCAATTTCATCTTTGGTTGACGCTAGGAGAGTAGTATCATCCGCATATCTTAAACTTGATATTTTATGTCCTCCCACAGACATTACCTTATTCCAGTCTTCGAGAACGATCCGCATGATGTACTCTGTGTATATGTTAAATAATAGCGGAGACAATATACAGCCCTGTCTAACGCCAGCTTGCGTTTTGAAACGTTCGGAGTCAAACTCGCCAACTCGAACTGCGGCTGCGCCATCTTCATACAGACGTCTAATGAGATGTACGAGATGTTGTGGTACACCCATTTCTGTCAGGACTCTCCACAGTTTCCACCACTTGACGGTATCAAAGGCTTTTCTAAAGTCAACGAAACATACATAGAGAGCGATGTTGAACTCCCGAGCCTTCTCTACAATTTGTCGCATTATGAGTAGCTGTTCTCTTGCATCTCGGCCCTTTACGAAACCAGCTTGCTCGGAGGCGATTTCTCGAGATAAGTAGGTTTGAAGCCTCGTGTTGATAATATGCAATATTATTTTGCTTGCGTGAGATATGAGAGAAATTGGTCTGTAGTTATTGCATTTTTTTGTTGATCCTTTTTTATGAAGTGGAATGAAAATGGAATGTGACCAATCGCTCGGCCAAACTCCAGTATCCCAAATTCGGCGGCAGATTGTGTGCAATATGTCTACTCCGATCTCCCCCATAGCCTGTATTGTTTCAATCGGGATCTCATCAAAACCCACAGCCTTATTCCGCTTAAGGTGTTTAATGGCTGCGCGCACTTCAGCTTTCAGTGGCATTGGTTCTTGCTCATACGCTTCTTCATGAATCGCCGCAATGTCTGCTGTCTTCTCTTCGAAAAGAGATTCACAATAGTCTTTCCAGACGCCAACAATCTCCTTTATGTCTGTGATGGTTTTTCCCGATACATTCTCAATGGCCCAAGTCTTTGGTTTGAATTGACGGGTTACAAGTCTGATTTTCATGTGTAAGTCCTTGGTTTCAAACTTTTGAGAATGTCGTTCAACCTCTGCGCATATAGATTGTAGCGCTGTATTGCGGTCTCGGCAACAAGCGGCTTGTATGTTGGAACTCATAATAGCATTAAGTTCTTGTGTTGTGGCACCATTAGCTTTTAGGTTTCTACGTTTCTCGACTAGGTTCCAGGTATCAGTCGACATCCAGTGCTGCCTCTTTTAGGTCTATTGTTAGGTTGTGATACGCTTACAGCGTCTTTGATAAGTTGCACGGCTGATTTCCAGAGATCGTCAACGTTTCCTTCTTCGCTATATTGTTCGTGCCAGCGTTGTACTTGTAGCGATTGAACAAATAAGTCCTTGTCAGTCAGTTCTATGCGTTTGGGTTTTTTTGTGACTATGGGTTTACGCATTCTGATCTTCATGTCGCACACAAGAAGTTGGTGGTCTGATATAACGTCGGCTCCTGGCAGTGTGTGTGCGTTGGTTATTGAGCTTCTCCATCTTGCTTGGATCAAAATGTAATCGATCTGGTTGCGATATTCTCCATTAGGCGATGTCCAGGTGTACAGTCTTCTTGGGTGGTGTTTGAAGATTGTATTCATTAGGGTGAAATTTTTGTCTGCTGCAATTCGATAAGGCGGATACTAGGGTAACGGAAAGAATACATATACTGTTTATATAGACAAACATATTAAACATCCATGACTGGAGTACAAATGCTCGTATTGATCACACAAACATCTGCCCCCACCGGGATTCGAACGCGGGACCCCTTGAGTCGGCGACACCATGAAACCCGGCGAGTATAAACCAATCGGCCACGAAGATCGTCAAAACCTTTTCATTATTTTCAAATTGTATGAGTTAATCAATAATTTCAACATAACGGAGTACGTAGCGTACTGGGTAAAGAATTTAAAAAAACCGATTTTAATAAGAACATTTTTGTAATTACATAAATATGTAAACTCTATTGACGTATGTGCGTGTAATTTTACCAGGAATAAGTAATTCAATTCGTGTATCACGCAAGCGTTATCTTGAAATGCGGTGATGGTTCACAAATGTTTGAAAATATTTGTTAGTTTGTTTTCAATATTCTGAGTAGACCACACTCATCTGGAAACGTGGAACGAATATAATCGCCAATCAATTCATTAAAAACTAAGCAGCGCAACAAACTCTCCACTGAGTCAATTATTGGTCTTCTCCACACAAAATGATGTATTGAAGATAATATTAATCAACTTTGTTATAATTTTAATAAATGTTCCCAATTTTTTTTCGTCCAAAATAGCAATTAAGAAGTGTTAGAAAAATTATAATTAGCAAACACTGTACCTTGCTATGTTTTTAATGATTTATTTGAATTAGTAGCATAAAATACTGTTGTTTTATTCTGCCAAAAAATCTCCCGATTAATAAAAGTAAATTTACCCGATTTCTAAATTTTTACTTTTACAACACTGATCCATCAGTCTTGTTCTCTTCTGAAATCTGTTTCTGTGCTCATCAATTTTCGCTGTGTTTTAGGTTATTTTGCTTGTACTCTATAGAGGTTATTTCTCTGATATTTGTATTTTAGGTAGAAAATATAAGTTTTAAATTTATAGAATGCCGTTTATGAAAGGAAGAACTCCTATCCGGCGTACCTTAAACTATTTGGAGGCCGGTAGGTTGGTTTTGAAAGACAAAATTCGAATATTTTCTGTGGCCTACAATATTCAAGGAAAGAACAACAATGGTGCAAAGGAATTTGTTTTTTGGTACTTGCCACAAATTCAATACAAGAACCCAAATGTTCAAGTAGCTACTTTGAAGAATTTGACGCCTTCTCCTTTCGTGAAATGTTATTTCGAAGATGGTAGGAAGATCTTGGTTGATGTGGACAATAAATCTAAAGAAGAAATTTTGGAGCATCTGATCAACACTGTGGGTAAAAGTAAAAAAGTGCTTGAAGCTGAAGCCACTATGGCCGAGAAGAAAGACAACCCAGCAAACTTTGGGATTGGTTGTGATCGTGCCTGCTTATGCGAGGTTTACGGACAAATACCATGTTCCGGTGTGGTTCCACTTCCTAAATTTATGAGAGGAAAATACAAAAATGCTACAGATTAATTTAAATTTGTTACAACAAAGCAAATGTAAGGAACAATGTTGAAAGTGGGCTTTAAAATAAATGCATTTTGCAATTTCTATCAGAAATTAAACACAAATATGGTCCTTAACCTATAGTTTTATCCTAAGATCTGTAAAAGTTAGATGAGATTAGACTTCTTCAGTGGTAGCAACCTCGGGATTTGGCCAATATCCAGTGTTTGTGTCCAAAATTTCTTATCTAGGTTTGTCCCGTGAGAGCTAGATCTACAATTTTAAAATGTGCACTTGTATGTATTATGGTATTTTTAATTTAAGTAGAAGTGTTCTTCTGTGTACTGTTCTTGACATTTATTTTCAAAGCAAATGTAATCAGATATTTAGAGTTTAAATTTTATTAAAGTCACTAGTTTTTGTCATATATTGTGCACATATTATAACTAGTATCCCAACCACAAACTTTCACAGATCCTAATTCATACCACCAACATCAAAGTTTCTATGGAAACTAAGCAGCACCTTTACCTGATTTAAGAACAACCTAGCTTTTTCTATAGAAACTTTGACATGATGATTTGCTTGCCCGCTAGTTTTTTTGTTTGTTCGATTGAGGTACAGATACCATATTAGAAGAAATATTAAGTGTATCTGATTTGTAATAACTGATTTCCTCATGAATTTAACAAAACCTCCAAAAGCATGCATTTCATGCCAAGGCCCTTGTTATTATGTGTGTTAGTGTAGAAATTTAGACTTAAATAATAATATTGTAATATAGTAATAAAAAAAGGTTTTTTTTTTTACAATAATAAGTTTTATTTATTTTACTTAATTTTTAGAATTTATATCCTTTAACTGCATTAGCCATAAGAGCAGCAGCAATATATTGCATGTTTTGGAAAGAATTGAATGTTCTGGAGTTGCAGTGATCAAAAAGATCATCATCAACCTCCTTGCCCCTTGGACATGTGTGAAAGTAGATCCATTTAGCTGAAGTATTCTTCTGGATTTCCTGTAATGATTCATCATATTTAAAAATAAAAAGGTATTTTTTTTATTATCTCTGGTTCTCTCGCCATTTGTTGCTCCTGTCTGGCGAAGTAATATCTGTGTAACAGAAGACAGTGAAATATTTGGACCCTTGGGTGTGGTTGTGTTTTTGTTGATGGGAAAGGTTCCTTAGGGATAGAGTCAAGATGATGAAAGTGATATTTTGAATTAGCAAGCGTCTATAGTCTATGTTTTCAACAGGTGGGCTATATGCTTGTTCTCCATTCTATATTAAAAATACACCTGAGATAAAAATATTAACCTAATAAATGGTAACCATATTGGATGGAGCTACCAAGCGACAGAGTTGGTTCTGCTTTGCAACTTGCATGATCAAACCAAAGCAACGTGTGAGGAGTCTATTACATTATAGGAAAGAAGATGGTCTCCCTGCTGCATGACCGCTGGGAGACCAAGCATTTATCTAAGCAATTTACAAAACATTCGATTTGAAGTTTGCAGGTAAGATACTAACCCTCACATTGATTTGGAACTCCTTAGATTCCTCTTTGTTAGTACTAGGTCCCGATATGATGACAGTCGCATTGGTGAGCACTTGTGATTTCCTCATGCATTCCTTGGACTCTGTGTGGGTTTGACAAGTTAGCTCTTCGCTGGCTTTGTATAATAGTGGGGATACACCAGTCTGTTGATTAAAAAGGAACGATTTCTATTAGCTCTTTTGTGCTCAAAGGGTTTGATTGGACCACAGAACACAGAAAGAGGAACTCAGAAAAAAATCTTTTTGTGTTCTGTGGATTGGACGCTCGAATTTTAACGCCCACCTAAATACCTCTATCTTTTAAAAGACATTTGTTCATATTACTCGGAACAAAACTTGCAAGTATAAAAAAATAATCTGCAATATATTCAGTGCAATAGCATAACAATAACAAAAAGTCTAACCTTGGCCTGTCGAACATTTGTGTTTGCGGTGTCACTTACCTGTTTCTTGCAGCAACATCGAAATCTGATGTTAGCGCCCAACATAGGGCATAGCAGGAGGTAGGAATTGAGCACTGGATGAGCATGCCCCATGTAGGCTACGTTTACATTCTGCATTGAGTCGTATTCTTCCTGTGAATGGAGAATGGCTGTACCTCGAACATCTCTTACGTAGTTCTATGTTTATGATGGAAAGTAAACTGAATAGGTAAATGAAAAACAGTGGTAGATGTTAAAACTAAGCAGGAGGCTGATGCCCTATTCTATCTTTACCTACTTCATTCCAGATAACATTAAAGAAAAGAAGCTGAAAGAAGCAGATTTTGGAAACCTTTCTGTCATGTTTAATATTATTATACAACTCGTTAAATCGGCGCTTCATTAATTTGGACCACGACTTCGCCGCAGGTTCTGTTGAATGCTATTGAATGGCTCTAGAGTAACTAGGGTTTAAGAGTTAGTTTGTATTGAATAGGCTCCGAAACTACTAGACCGATTTGAAAAATACTTTCACATTTAGAATTTTTGTGTGAAAAAATACCAAAAAACACGCGTCAATTTGAGGAAAAAGGTTAAAGTGATTCAAACTTAAAAGATGGACACATGCTGTCGTGCACTTTTTTTTATAACTTATAAAGGGAAACAATTCCGTCATACCTAGGTACATGATTTTTGTGTAAGTTAAACCGTTTATCCAGCGCACGCAACGGTGCTCACAAATAGAGTATTTTTATCCGTTTTTGTAACATTTTTCATCGATGCTCCACTCCTGCTGAGCTATTTTCTGGGATTAGCGTGTTCAACCACAAAAAAAAACCAAACTCTCCAGTTTTATGATATTAGTAAGTTTGTATATTATCTAACTACCTAGTTCTTCATGTTAATATAATACAGGTAATAGTAACGCCGATATAAACTAGGCCACATTATTCATACCCGGGTATTAGTAATCCAAATTAATGACTTCTTATTCTAGACTATATGAGGCAGGTACCTGATAAAAGCCTTGAATTGAGGCAGGCCGGCAAGGTGAGGATGGTTGGTGTTGGTGTGGCAGTTTATAACTGCTGTACCAGCAATCTTCGCGATTGGACATTACACCACTTAACATCAGGTGGGGTAGAGTCATCTGCCTACCTGGCTATACATACAATAAAAATTTTAAAAATCAAAAAACCCGACTGCTTAGTTATAATTATACTTCAAATAAAAACTGACAAAAAAAACAAGTCCTGTCGTCTATAATTCTGTTAATAAGGAACAAAGCTACTTTAACAGCCGTGACCCATTAGATATTCAAGAATACATAATATTTTTCAATAATTCGTTTTCGTCACAATATGGCGCCTAATTTTACCTATATTGAATTTTGATTACTATCATAACTTTAGTAGCACTCCCATGATTGAGACGAATCGATTGATGTATGAATCATCAAAATCGGTTCAGGCGTTTGGTCTCTAGTGTGCCAACAAAGGAACAAACATACATATATAATCGGGTAAAAATAGTTGGATTAGACTATTCGCAAGTTTCATACGACTCAAAAGTTATATGAGTATGAGTGAAATAATTGTGTGAGTGATAAAAGTGATTTTTGTGTATAAGCCACTGCGTCACTATATACATTTAATAATAAGGGCATAAACCAATGGTAAGGGGCGCAAACTTTTTTTGGCAGCAGAGCAATGGTGCATTCCGAACAACGGGTCCTAAACTAGGTAGGTACGTAACATAATTTTCACTATCAGTTAAACAATTTTTCACGGGAGCTTTATAATTTTATGAAATAAGTAATTGTGTATAATACAAGTCTAAAACAAAAACTATAGTTTACACTACAGCTCTACACCGAAGCGAGAGCGGTCCACTAGTATACTTAGGTATATGCCTATCATACGTGCTAGCTAACCCCGTGAGGTCCATCTGGCGGGGAAGTGACTTTGTAGATACGAAATGTAAATTACGATAATCGTCATGATAGTCGCCAGGGACTGTATGCTGGCGTGAGTCCTGGACCTCATGCAGAGCACTGGTACCGACGCTTGATCAGCAAACCGCTGCACGCACATGTGGGTGGCGGTCGCTACGAAGATTACATCCGCCATCAGGGAAAACACTCTGAAAAAAATTTTTTTATGGAAATTGTATGGCCTAAAAAACATTCCTTTTGATAGTAATAGCGACAACATGGCTTATTATTGTAAGCTTTTCTCTAAAATCCGATCTCCAAACCGATCCGAAATCTGACTCTCTGTAAGGATTAGAGGTTAGGGTTATATTACTCTGGTTCGTAGGCTTCATAAGGTGATTTTTCACCAACATAGGCATAGGCCTGATGGATTAGGGAAAACTTGCGTTTGCCAACCACGCGAACCAAGAGTGCCAACTACAGGCTTAGCCCGCAGCGGCCCGGATAGAGATCGCCTCGATACCTAGCGCCCTACGCAGCGAAGCGAACGTTGACGAAATTGAAATTTAGACATTGTTTTAATAAAAAGTCTTTATAAGAACAATTTTTTTCTTTATAGTTTTCGTAATAAGTAAGTTCTCTACAGAACTTCTATCTGTTATTTTGTTTTCTTGAAAAGTTCTTTTCAGAACTACTTTCTGTCTAGAATTAGGTCGCTCCTGAGTCCACCCTACGAAACGGATTTAATGCAGTTTTCAGCAATAGGTAAAGCAATTCAAGTTGGAAGTTTCAAGATGTACCTATAATAGAAGCTCAAGAGCAAAAACTATAGTAATTAAACACTAAAGGCATAGTATGTAGAATGCTTCCAATTTTGAATTGACTGACATTGTTATTCCATTGTCTCCTCATTGTTTGGGCACCGAAGCCTAAATATAAAGGGATTGGAGAGTTGTTTCAGACCACAGATTACTAAGATTTCGTCAGACGTACTTGCCGATATAATTATTGTCCCAAATGAGATGGTCGACAATGTTGACGTCATAAGCACCGAGGAAGGTGGCGGCTTTCGACACAGCCATGTTGAGGACTGGTTCGTTCAACTCCTGCAGTATCATCACTTTCGAGTCTTTCAGTATGTCCTGTCATATTGAAAGAGAGCTAAAATTAAACCTTATTACAACAAAAAAGTTGAAACGCGTTCAACATGATTAAGAATAAAAAAACGCTTTTTAGGGTTCCCTAGTCAGTCCTGACAAGGATCCCTTATAGTTTCGTCATGTCCGGCTGTCCGTCCCCAGTTTTGCTTGGAGACTATTAGCACTAGAGAGCTGTAATTTTGTGCAGTATATCGATCACGCCATCGAAGTGGTAAAAAGAAATTAATTTTTTTTTTAAGGTATCTCCCCTACATGTAACCTGGGGATGACTTTTTTTTCATCATCTACCCCATCGTGTGGGATGTCGTTGAATAGATCCTTTAAAATTACGTAGGGGTTCCTATCGAAAAATAATCATAACTATTTTACGATTTAGGGATCCGTTTGCAAAATACTGAACTTTAAAGTGCTATTTTTTGTTCGAGTAGGGCGCCCCGCCCCCCTCTAAAAGCTTAATTATTGGCTGGGAAAACTTAAGAAAATTCACGATAATAATGCTTTTCATGGACTATTAAGGATAACTATAACGGTTAAGATAGATTTGTTAGTTTATGAGTAATAGTCGTTCAACTTTGGTTAAAGAAAACGTCTTAACTATTGAAAATCCTTTGAGAAGAAACCATTAATAGTGATAAAGGTGAAGTAATTGTATCGTAAAACGAGTACCGACAATAACGGCTTCTGAGTCGCGCTAACGTTACCTACGTTTTTATAAAAAGTATATAAGCACTTGAAAAGTCGGCGGTTATACAGCATCATCCCCTTCTCTGGGGATGATAGCTTCAGATGAAGCTTGTATGGCCCTTCTGGTCCTAAGTTTGTTGTTGAACTACGAATGTGTTTTAGTCAGTAAGAGTCAGAGACATAACCTTGCAACTGGCTGTAGGATATCCATGAGAATTTCACACGCACTCCCTCGCCTGGGAGGAAACATAAAACTACGGAACCCTACACTGCGCGTGCCACGACACTACTAGATATTATCTTACAATAGTAGTAAAAAAATAGAAAAATTTAGATTTCCTATAACACCAGAGTTATAATCTAAACCACTAAACTTACTTTTCCTTTGTATTTGAATAATATCAGATCTTGTAAAGTATTCATTTATTAATTCTCACCATCCTCTTATTATGCGTGTCACCGATGGAGTGTTTCAAATTGATAGCACTGTTTATAATATCCATTACCATTTCTGAAGTCCATTGCTTGAAACATATTAGGTGACGCGGCTTATGTGCCCTGTTGATTTCAATATACATTATCATCAGCCTATTCATGTCCTCATAAATACAGTACGATCATACTAGCATCAAATAAAATATGCTCCGACTCAACTATATAAGCAACTCTCACGCACGCACATTTCTGTAAATAATCATTCAATCGAGCGAGCGAGACAGAACTGATGCTTCAACGCAACGCGAGCGAAACGGCGAGTCCGCTTCGCTTGGCTTGGCGACTGCGTTTTCTTCTGTCATGAATTTTATTTACTGTTTCGCCATTTGTTATCAAAAGGGACAACAATACAGCTAAGCCGTTTGTAGAGGGAGAAAAGAAAACGTTAATGTTAAATGCTTGATTTTTAAGCAGCACCAAAGTGGCGTACAGCTGATTTCGAAATGTATTTTTTTTTGCATTAAGTCATTTCCTCGCTGAGGTGGGATGAAAAATTGCGTGTTGCACTCAAGTGCAAAGATTTTTTACCTCGTGTTGATTACCTAGCTAACGTTCAGGATTCAAATTTTTGCAGCAATTCTTCGCGTGCTCGGTCGTCAAAATGGAGAACCGCATGGTTAAAAAGCAACTTTGTACTCTTGTATAACAAATAACTATTTCTGGGGTACCACTCACAGAACACAGAAGTGGTACTACCTTTATACCCTTAAGTAAGTCCTTGAGGAACGAATTAAATAATTTAAAACCCATTGTGTACTTACTGCTGACGATAGTGTTTTATCTGCAAAAATGCATCCGGGTTGAATTTTACGACTTTCATCATTATATAAAACGATAAAATTTGGAATAATTTTAAGTACCTAATCAAATAACGATTCAGGACAAAATTTTGTAAATAAACAAATTATGCTCTCTATTTGCTCTCTGTCATGGCTCTATGATATTGAAAGAAAGACGATGATATTCCTTAGCAAAGTTCCTATGTCCAAGATATTCCTAATCCTATATATTATAATGAGCGTTTTCCATTTAGAAAAAAAAGTCGACACTGTGTTGCTATGTGAAAAAAAATGTGAAAAGTATTGAAGTTACCAAGCTTTAGTTGGCATTAGGTTTTTGCTGTGGTTCTTGCTATAGTATCGTCGACACAGTGCAACACAGTGTCGACTTTTTTTTCTATATGGAAAACGCTCAATATTAAGTAGGATGTTACAAGTTGTGTAGTTGTGATTATTACCTACTCATTAACTTAAACTTGGAGGGAAATGTTTAATTGTAATTTTAAAATAAAAATTTTAGATTATTTAATAACCACAAAGATTCTCTCAAAACGCATAGGTATTACGGCGACGGGCCATAGCAAAACAACTTGGACGCCTCAATCGATCTTTGCAAATTATTGCTACGTAGGTAAAACGTAAGACCTTAATTTGCTCGATAAACGGCTTTGACACAACAAGACCTGCAGACGGGGGGACAAATCAAGGTTATATGATAATTGCGAGAGATTACCTAAAATCGTCCTTTATAGGTATATACTAAACAGTAAGGATTTGCGTTATTAAAGCTGAGATTAATTATAAGTACTATAAACATACCATGCTAACCGGGAAGAACTCATAAAAGTAGGTATTCAAATGTAGGTAACTTAATACTAATTCAACCTAGTAGTAGGAGAGCTACTGAACCCTCCGACTAACGGTGTGTCTGTAAGGCTAGAAATTATAATTTTTATTATTTTTAAAGCATGTAACTGCTTGATGTTTAAATCTAAAGAAAATATAACTAGAAAAAAAATTCCACGCGGACCAGGCAGCAGACGGGACTCGAACCCGCACCCTTCGCAATCCGGGCGAATGCACTGACCAATTATGCTACCGCGGCCCTCACGGACCGCGTCGAAATTCTTTCTAGCTATTCTTAAGCTGCAAGGCAGCGCCATCTCTTCGCATTATAGGTAAACCCACAATGTCAAATGAATACTTTTACAAGTATTAAACATTTGAAAGAAGAAATAGCAATTATAGTTATAATTTTTATTATTTTTAAAGCATGTAACTGCTTGATGTTTAAATCTAAAGAAAATATAACTAGAAAAAAATTCCACGCTGACCAGGCAGCAGACGGGACTCGAACCCGCACCCTCGCAATCCTTGCCATCTTTTTTTTTTCTAGTTATATTTTCTTAAGGCTAGAAATTGTTATGATGATGAGTCATAGCATGCTTAGTACGGTAAGCATCGCCTGGCACTCCTCAGCCCTGCAAGTCATCAAGCCTTTTATTGTTTAAATTGTCAAAAAAATATTTAAAAAAATGTTGTTGCTGTAAGCTTGAAAATTTTATACAATTTAGTTTATTAATTTTTAAGTTTAAAAAAAATTGCCAGGCATTTACGTTGAGCACAAGTATACCCGGCAGGTGAACCGAAAGGTGTGTAATATGTGTATTAAAATAAACTTCATTCTGTAAAGTTGAAAATTTATATATGTGTTTGTTTAAGCGATTTAAAGTAAGTAAATCCGCACTGGGCCCGCGTGGTGGGTCTTGAGCCCATCTCCTTATTCCATCCATAGGAAAGGCCTATGCCCCCCCAGTGGGGATATTAATAGGCTGATGATGATGATAAAGCGTGTTCTCTTAGTGACCCACGGTCGAGTCACCTTCACTACGGTACAAAAAACGTTTTTTTACCGTCATCTCACCACGCTCTTCGTTTGCTCTTTTTTTTCAGTTCCAGCCCGGCACTTAATAATATGCCTGCCTACTGTGCCCGTATATGTAAATAGTAATAATAAATAAAAAATAAAACTATTATTACCTAAAACAATTGATTTAATAATAAAAAATACATTTACAATACAATAACAAAGGTAGGTACTTCTTTTGCCACATCTTTACAAAATTTGCATTCACAAACTAACTTTATGGTATAAATATTATTTATTAAAAACTATGGTTAATAATAAATTAATTTTAAACAATATTACAAACTATTATCAGCATGCCTGGGCCAGTTACACTCGACTTTCGTCTAAACGTAATCTAATGCCTGGTTCATCCATTTTTAAATGATTATAGCCTATAGTTTAAGTGCCGTTGAGTGGAATGACATTGTTAGTATCAGCTCCAATAAAGGTACAAGTCCGAACTGAACCGCAGACCGCAGGCCGCAGCTGCAGTATGAATCTCTATGAAATTGATTCCGAGTGCGGCGACATTGCGGCCTGCAGCCGCGGTGCGCTTCCTGCGGCTGCGGCGTGCAGCGACCGCACACTACAGTTCCAGTGGTGTCGCCAACCGCAGAGAGGTCACACCAAAGATTTGAATATATATGCCCTTACCATAGTTTGACCGCACCGAAATCTGTCAATACTCGAATGAGCTAACTCCCATATTTTTCCCTATTTTTCCAATTCCCATTTTCAGAAAAGTGTATTATAATAAAGTCGTGTGCCTTCCGAAAGTGCTCTAACAATTCGAGAAATAAAAATAAAGCTAATGGTGTAACATTTCACTCGTAAGTTTTTAGATTTCATTTTTATGAAATTTATTTTCTTTCGTTGTCATAAATATTGAAATCTGTTGAAAAAAAAGTAGTGTTGGAAAATATTGCTAGACAACTATAAAAAATATAGTAACACCAAGTCGCCATTATCTTCCTCTTCTAACAAAAGACACATTAGTAAATTTTACTATCAGTAGCGTTGTCCAACATTCTGTCTCGCACGAAGGTATTGGAGTGACTGATGCATGGTTATATGCATTTCACCGCGTTCGGCATTGAAGCTGCCGCGACCGCAGGCTTCACTGCGGTCAGCCGTAGGCTTCACTGCGGTCAGCAGGCTAGCCTCAGTCTCGCCTGCGGTCGCGGTCTGCAGCCCATTGCGGAATTGTACCTTAAGTTTAGGGTTTTTCTTAACAGTCTTCATAATAAAAAAAACTGGTTATGAAAATCAAATTTGCAGTAAATATAGTAAAGACTTTTGTTTTGCGTGTAAAAATGTGCTTCTCTAGGCTATCAATTTGATATCCATTTTGTATTCACACAAGTTTTTTTTGCTCAATGCAATCATAGCTATTGCCACCCGTGATATCGTAGTATTTCTAAAGAAACCATATTTATCAATTTATTCAACATAATATCTGTTCTGGAATTTAGAATTAGAAGTTGTAGAAAAATGATAAGATGACACACGTACATACAAACACACATTCATACGTGAACCCGGAGACAACATTACACTCACTTATTTGGGCAGTCTTGTAAGAACCGTGGTTACCGATCAGCACACTTAAATACACTTATCCCTAACATTGTTGCTTTCACAAAAATATTCAATATAGTTTCCTTCAAAAATCACTTAACACTAGATTCTTCGTCCGTCTTCCTCTTCGCTCCCATAGCCTCTTGTATCTCCGCGAAAGATCTCCCTTTCGTCTCAGGGATCATAAGTACTATAAACAAGCAGAGTAGTAGACAGTTGACAGCAAACGCCCAGTAAGTGGCCGCCGGTCCTATGGCCACCATGAGTGGGGCGAAATATCTGGTGGTCAGGAACAGTGATACCATGGATATCGTCGTGCATATGGATACACCGAAAGCTCTTCCAGCGTTGTCGAACAGTTCGGCTGACAAAGCCCAGTTCAGCGAGCCGGGGCCTGAGAAAGACAACGATTTATGGTGAGAATTATCGACAATGATGTGATTTTATAAATGCCCATTAGATGCTAACTTTATGGAGTTTATTTATTTTCACACATATTTAACGTAGGTACATACTCATCATAAATTCGTATATTTTTATTTTGATGATAAACGTATTTTAACAACATAAGTTAAGCTAAGCTGAATAAGTATCATAGCTAAAAACACGATTATTCCCAAACTTAAGACGTATTATAATACGACAAAATTTAAGAGAAGTCATGATAAAAGTTTTTTACGTTGAAGTGTTGTGTTTTGTAGTCGGTTGGTTTACGTTAGCCATCTTAGGCCCGTGTTACAGAATGACAACTAAGTGTTGATCTTTACTTGAGTACAGTAAAGTACAGTTAGAAAGAAAGAAAGAAAATATTTATTTGAACGACATGTGTAAGTAAGATGTTATGATTTTATGGGTGCATAACATGTCGTGCCGCTATGGGCATACAAATTCATTAAGTTATTTAAATTCTAAGTCAAAAATCTTAATATTCAATAATAAAACATGTCAAATTCAAATTATTCCAATTCAATAAAAAAAATGTCAAAATTAATCAAAAAATAGAAATAATAATAATAAAAACATAATTACAATTCAAAATTTGTCAAAATATGTCAATAATAAAACATGTCAAATTCAAATGATTCCAATTCAATAATAAAATGTCAAAATTAATCACAAAATAGAAATAATAATAATAAAACATAATTATAATTCAAAATTTGTCATTTAAAAATTCCGATACATCATATTAACATTTATCTAATATTATATTTTTAATTTTCTTCTTATATAAATTAAAATTTAATTCTTTTATATATGTGGGGAGTTTATTATATATTCGAGGGGCCATGCAGAATATGTTTTTTCCCATAAGAGCTGTTCTCGAGTTTGGCATGCACAACCTACTATTATCGCGTCTATTGCGATCTATAACATCTGCCATTCTAACGAAAAGATGCATGTTATCTTTTACAAATAGTAAAACCTCAAAAATGTACATAGACGGAAGTGTCAGAATTTTATGTTTTAAGAAATACGGTTTACAGCTGTCCGTTATTTTTAAACCAAACATTGCTCTTATGCATCTTTTTTGCATTTTAAATGCTGTGTCTTTATCAGTAGAATTCCCCCAGAAGATAATACCGTATCTACCGTAATACTGTAATACCGTATCAAAGGGATATCGCTATGTGCTATATATAGCCACATCACTAACTATGCTCAATTGCTCAAGACTAGATCATTCAAATGATTTGAATTAATATAAAATGAGTAAAAGCTTTTCTTCCAACCTAATAAATATGGTAAAGTAATACCTGCGCTGAAGCAAAAGACGATCAAAATGAGGGATATCAGAGGCAAGAAGTTCATGAAGCCAGTGACGGATGTAGCACCCATTGTGACGTAGAAGAAACTGCCAAGACCGACCTGAAACAAAATAACAAAATTAATACACTAAAAGTAATGATAAAGTAGAATGGAAACTAAGCAGCGGACGTAAGAACAATCTCGCTCCTTCCACAGAAACTGGCTATGGCGACACGAATACTTTCTCGCTAGTTGTTCGCGCTAGGGGTACTGATAACATGCTTATATTTAGCAAGTCATTAGAAACAGCTGTAAAAAGTACAGCAACTCTGAGCATTGAAGAAAATATCATATACTCCTCACCATCCCCAGCATTTGTCCGATCAATGTGACGGACAAAATCGGTTTTCTTCCAAACTTGTCCGTTATCAATGTCGTGACGAAGCTAGCAGCTAGCTGTATACATCCTATGATGACTGACGCAATCTCCGGTCGAATGCTGGTTTGAGTAGACTCCAGTACTGTTTGTAAGTAGAAGGTAACAGCGTTGAAACCAATGAACTGGACGCCTATGAGGAAAATGGCGACGATGACTATAGTTTTGAGAAACATTCTGTTCATGAAGAGCTGAAGTTTGTAGACGTCGTCGGTTTTCGTCTCCAAGGCGTATTCCTTTAGTTCCAAGTTCGCTGCTGATTCGGAGCCACGGAAAAATGTGAGGACTCTTAGTGCCTCCTCTGATCGTCCTGAAACAAAAGGCATGAAAATTTTAAGCGAGTGTATAGGCTTTAACCGCTTTTAGTCCTTGCGTGTTTTGTAGGACATTATATACAGGGCGTCCCACGGCTACCTCACACGGAGGGAAAGTATATTAAATATTGAAGATAGGATATTTAACTGAAAGAAGACATCATTTTATTTTTAATAAAAACTAGAACTGCATTCACAGATTTTTTAAAATCACCTGCTATAACTGGGAATCAAACTCGTGAAATTTCGGAAAAAACAACATATTTTATGATAACCTTCGAAAGGGTTAATCATAAGAATAATTTTTTGCTAAATAACATAGCATTTTAAATGAAAGGAATGTCTTATTATATGATAAAAATAATAAAGTGATATACAAAATGAAGTACGTATGCATTTCTTTTTGAACTCACAGTAACAATGCGGTTTCCTGAAATTTATAAAAATAATAATTCGAAAATGGAACATAAATTTTCTGTTTTTTGTGAGTTTCATTTTCTTTTATTTGCATTTTTTTTTGTTAATTAACTTACCATGGCGTATTAAAATAAAATGGATTTAATGAAAGCTTACTTTATGAACCACAAAGACATATTAGCTTTGCGGTGGTACCGCGAAAGATATCCTGATAGAGACGTACCGTCTCAATATTAAATTTGTTTAAAAGGTTAGTGGATAGTTTAAGAAATTTAGGACTTTTTGATATGCGCTTACAGAAACCACAGCAGCGGATGATAAACGTCAACGATATTAACTCAACGTTTTAACTTACTTTAAGGCGTATCCGATTTTATATTAGTTTGTGTTAAATAATTTTGAACAAAATGTTTAATTAAATTACTTTTCTTTCATTTAAAATGCTATGTTATTTAGCAAAAAATAATCCTTATGATTAACCCTTTCGATGGTTATCATAAGATTGGTAGTGTTTTTTTTTCAAAATTTCACGAGTTCGAGTCCCAGTTGTAGCAGGCGATTTTAAAAAAATCAGTGAATGCAGTTCTAGTTATTATTAAAAATAAAATGATGTCTTCTTTCAGTAAAATATACTATCTTCAGTATTTAATATACTTTTCCTCCGTGTGAGGTAGCCGTGGGACGCCCTGTATAAGTCGATGCCTTAACTCCAGCCAGCATAAAAACACTTTATACAAATTACTGGAGCCTTTAAAGTATGTATATTTTACAACCAATCATCAAAAGTCGGTACCCTATATCTGCCTCACAACCAGCAGTCTTTAAGTTAAAAATGAGATGTTAGAAGCATTTTGTAAGCTGATATACATAAGTAATTATTGTATTTGTATCAGCGTCACTTAATTTGTGTTTTTTCTGTAAAAAATATCTTTAGCTTGAGTTTGATGAAGACAATTTTTTTTCATCATGGGTTTTCCGCCCATTTGAACTTTTTCTCAGCACTAATTGGACTATAGTTCTGAAAGCTTTCGGCACGTTTACACTGGATTCTAAATAGGATTTTAGGACCCTATGACTTCTGTTTCAAAACATACTAGAAATAAATATTTTTGTCTTTCAAATTCATAGGAAAACTAATGTAAATTCCTGCCGTGCCGCACGATAAGAACTGTACTTTAAGCGCCGCACCTTGATAAAGTCCTCTAAACTTCTATAGGGTTTATGGCCCAATAGGAGTATACACAAGACGCATGAACACTCAGCCAAATTCAATATTTGGATTTCTATACAGACATTTACCTTTCGAGTACAAGGAATACGGGCTGTCCGGCAGAAATATCAGAGGCACGGCGCAGACTACAACTGTGACCGTGAACAGTATGCTCACAGTCGAGTAGGATACGAAAGGACCGACGCTCAGCATTATCACTATGCCAAAGGAGCACATGATCTGGAGTATCGTGCCCAAGGAACCACGGACTGCATTCTGCAACAACAAAAAAGACCAAAAAAGTAATTAGGTACTAGAAAAAAATCCACTACACAGGACTAATGACCGGATGAAATCGATACAAACATTTATTAATCACGCTTTATTACATAAACAGTTCCCAAACGAATACGTAAACTTACGCTTGCGACTTCCGAGGCGTACATTGGCACCACAGTGAATACGAAAGCGTCTGATACTCCGTTGAGTGCCCTACCCAATAACAGCATCCACACATCAGTAGCCGAGCCCAAGAATAGAGCTCCCGCGATCTTCGGAACTACTCCCATAATGATGCAGTACTTCCTTCCAATGCGGTCGAGAAGAAGAGCTGGTATGAAATTACCTGAGGAAGGAGTAAATTAAATGGGTAAATGTAATTTCTTTTATGTGAGCAAAATTTTACAGCAATCTCTCGTTTTCAATTCTTAAGACGCATGATAAGGTTGGGCTGTTGACAATAATACAAACAGTTACAAAAAGTGAATACTTATAGTGATAGTGGTATTTTGGTCCCTGCTCTGAAACCCAGCTAATCAGACTATTTGAATACACCCACGATTGGACACCAATATCTAATTAACTTGATCCATGGGCTTATTAGACAATGGGCTTACCAAATAGAACTATATGCCCCAGCAGTGACGTTCTCAACATTGTTGTAATGGAAATGAAAAGACTTACTGAATGCTCCAACGAGGGATCCTATGGAGACGATCCAGGAGCCTTCATCCTCCGTGACGGGTCGATGTAGCACCAAATCATCTTCATCTCTTAGCTTTACTAGGACTGGAGATGGCCAAGCTAGGCCAAGGCCGCACGCGAACAAGTTTAAATTCACTGGAATAAGAAAGACAAGGATTTATGTATTTAGTTACATGGTAAGGACTTAAAGAAGCTGGGCAAGTCAAAATCAAATTTATCTTATTTTAAAGGTCGATAATGTCGAATAGTAAGTGAGATTAACTTTCATAGTAGGGGTGCTCAAGCGGGGATTTTGGGATTAACTCGAGAGTGGCAGTAAAACAATAAGGGGGGGGGGGGCAACCTTACGCTAAACTCGCATCAGGACACGTGACCTGATCGAAAATTCGTAAGACAAAGACAATAAAATTGCAAAGGTCGTTGACTTTGTTGAGGAAACAGTAATATTTTATCGTATTATAATAATAAGTCTCTATCTAGGACGTCCAGGTGAAAAGAAAATGCATTTTTTTACAATATATGTCGCTAGGTGCGCTTAAATGTGATTCATGTAAGCTGATTTTTCTAAGAGATAAACTTTTTAATGTAATATAAATTGTCATGTTTGTTTACGATAGCGCAATAAATAAATATTGTATTATACCACGTAAATGATAGTACTTTTATACTGATAATTAAAGCAATTCGTGCAAAATTAAGTATTCCCTAATCATTCCAAAATATCAAAAATGCACAAAGTTAATATTCAAGTTTTCACTTCTGCCGGCACTCCCGGAGTGCAGCCCGTCGTTTTTTTTCTATAATATTAGTCTAGTCAACAAGTGCCTTTTTGGTCAACTTTTTTCAGCAGTCTCCGAAAATTATGATCGAGGTGTCATTCGATTTGGAATGGCGTCTAGATGATTTTTGAAAAAAATGAAGTTCCGCAAACAAAAATTGCAAAAGTTATTAACAATTAAACTAAAAAAAAGGGGGTTTCGTTTTTTACTAATATCTCAAAAACTAATAAATATATTTCAAATTAAAAAAAAGATTCGAAAAGAGGACAAAATTTCCTAAAAAAAAGCCCTGACTCCCGGAACTGTAGGACCAATATTTATAATTTTCCCAGAGGGATGAAAATACGGCCGAAAACGGGTCCTCTGGCTTGCGTAAGCCACGCCTACTTTGGGCACTTTATTAATAAAAAATATTTTAACATGTTAAATATAAAATTTAAGAAATGAAAAAATTCAGGGGCTTACTGGATAGATGAATGAACAATAATCCGCGTGAAAAAAATTTTTACCACAATTTTTCAATTAGTTATGCAATTGTAAATTAAAAAAAAAAATCCGCTTGAACATGAACATTGCAAGTGTGATTATTGTTAAACTATAAATTTGAGATTTTTTTCCTCTCTTGGAGCAATTCTTGAAAGGCTTTAGAATAGATCCCCGTTGGAAAAATTAAAAAAAAATGGATGCGTGTAACTTATGTACGCGCGTGAGAAGATATACTTCTTTAGCATCATTAAAAATATTTTTTAATTGCATGCAAAAATTAATAATTACAATAAAATAATAAAAGGACTGGAAAAGGATAGTTAACACAGTCAATTAAGTTCAGTTTTAATTGGAAAAATTAAATAAATATTCAAAATATTCAATTAAAATCACTACTGAATTTAAGTTATTAGTCCATATGTTGGCTTTTTATTAGGAAATTTCCTCCTCTTTTCGAATCTTTTTTTTTAATTTGAAATATCTTTATTAGTTTTTGAGATATTTGCCAAAAACAAAACCCCCTTTTTCTTTTTTTGTTAATTGTTAATAACTTTTGCAATTTTTGTTTGCAGAACTTCATTTTTTTCAAAAATCATCTAGATGCCATTCCGAATCGAATGACACCTCGATCATAATTTTCGGAGACTGCTGAAAAAAGTTGACCAAAAAGGCACTTGTTGACTAGACTATATACCCCTTCGTACTATCAGAATCCACATGCTGACATTAAAGAGACATACTTTTACACATAGAGGTCCTCGTTAATTTGCTCGGTGGATTTGTTGAGGTCGTTCTGCATTACTGCTATTGTGAGGTTTGATTGTGAAATCGTTCATTTCCTGGCCGTTACAGAAGACTACTTACTTATTATTGAGCTGTGGGCTTAAACATAGTGAAGGAAAGACTTAATGCATACCTTAACTTCTAAACGTGGGAAAACAAAAAAAAAAAACCGGAATGAATAAGAAAATAATATACGGCGATAATAAAATGACTTAAAAATGAAGCCAGATGCAATCTCATTATCATCAGTTTTACGAGATGTAGACATAGCGCATTTCCCGTTCGAATTGGAGTGCGCGTCCGGGGAAGTAACTTCCACCTTTCAGAAGATAATGGTAAAGTCATCATCATCATATCAGCCGTACGATGCCCACTGCTGAGCATAGGCCTCCCCCAACATAGTAAAGAAAATAACACTACCTTTTGTTATTGTTGTGTTTCTATCGGTGAGTAAGTTTCCAGAGCTGGATAGGGGGTGGATCAGGGTAGGCAACGGTGCCAGTGATATTTTTGTCATCGAAAGCGTCTATAGTCTATGATGGCGGCATACCATCAGGCGGGCCATACGCTTGGTTCCCACTCTTTTAACATAAAAATCAGTCTTTCAATATCCCCGCTTCCAGGGCACAAATCGCCCCTATGGCATTGACCAAGGTCCATGCTACTTTTTACCTATAGCATGGACCAACGCTGCCGTGTTATGGGATTTCGTGTATCTCAAAACAGGTCAAGTTGAGAAAAACCCAATTGAAAATATTAAGTTATTTTTCTCTATAGATTTAATAAAAAATCACGATTCTTATGAAAAATTTATACAAATAACTTGAGAATGGTATAGTAAATAAGGCCACATAATTTTTAAATAAATATTTGTATAAATAAAAATACGAGAAACTTTTTTAATTTAACGCAAATGGAAATCTCAAATAAGGTTTTAACCTAGGTTACACGAGAAGCGGGCGATAGCTATCTTTACTGTGTAACAATAGTTTTTTTTATTGGTGATGGGTTTGCTCTTGATTTGTCATGATTGTAGATTATAACTTTGTTGACTTTGCGTTCTATCGAGTTTAATGCCGTAAGTTGGTATTTTGCCAAACCATCTTCAAGGTGGCTGCAAGCTGCAGTACTACATACATAATCGGACCTGAGTTTTGTAAAGGGTTATAGGTTTTCTATCTGCAGTTTGAGCCTTGGATTCGACGGTCGTTTTGTTGATCGTCCCCAGTGGAAACCATATTGACGATCACTGAGAAGATCCTTATCTTCTAGGCATGAAAGCAGTTGAAGAACTCTCTCCATAACCATACAGATTATAGCAGTGATGGCGATCGGAACCTACGTTAGCAGATGGTGGAAAAGCCTTGTCTGTTTTTTCAGCTCTTGCACGTTGATGCGATGTGTTGTCCAAGGAATACCCAGCATCCTTCGCCAGCACCATATCTCGAAAGCATCGATACGATCGCGGTCAGTTTTCTTCACGTGGGTTCACGTTTCCACACCGTACAACAATATAGAGAGCACCAGACATTCTTTACCATCCTGATTTTTCTTCTTACCACATTTTCGTATGAGCCAATATAATTGATGCTTGAGCCCAGGTATATAAAGTTACAAACCATCTTTAAGTCAAATTTCTCAGTGAGCTCAAGCTTGCCTGTGCGATCTATGACCATGATCTTGATTTTGGACCTGTTTACCTAAAGTCCCAGTTCTATGCTTACGCGCTCCATCATCCAGGCTTAGTACGCGCAAGCTTGTTTTGTTTGCGTTTTCACATCGCCAACAAAAGTCACACCTATCAGCGGTTTATAAGATACATGGGCATCGCATAACAATTTGCTTTAAAATCGAGTTACACGGATAATTAAATCTCGCCTATTATAAATTTTTTCATACAAATGATTTATTTTATTGTACTATTCTGGCAATAGAAACTTCAATTAAGACCTATTAAGAGTAACTCGTGTAATCCAGGTTACACGAGATTCACTTAACACGGCAGAACGTCAATGCTAAGATACATAAAATAGGGAAATGACCGTGACAAAATTACTATTTCCGCCTTCTGCGATATGGGTTTTCCCAAAATTTTAATTAAATACAAGTATGATTTTATTTATTTTTTAAGCATTTAACTGCTAGATGTTTAAATCTAAAGAAAAGTTTACTAGAAAAAAAATCCACGCGGACCAGGCAGCGGACGGGACCCGTACCCGCATCCTTCGCTATCCGGGCGAATGCACTGACCATTATGCTACCACGGTCCTATTAGCCGCGTTGAAATTTTCCTAGCCTTAAGCTGAAAGGCAGCGCCATCTCTTCGCATTGTAGGTAGAAATAAAAATAAATACAAGTACTTACAGATTAATATTGTTTTGATCTCTTGATAACATGAACGCAATAAAAAAGTACATAATTAATTAGCGAAGTCACTCTATTAGATGTGGCAATAATTTATTTTATTAGGGTTCCGTATGCAAAGTGTGAAATTGGAACGGTAGCTAACTGGAGATAACCAGCATAGCCCTTATAGCAATATGTATAATACCAATATGCTCTAAGGTATAGCCGGTTAGTACAGACATTATTTCTGTGATGATTAGTGAATTCGCCCGGATCCAAAAGAGACTGGGTCGATTCCAGCCCAATTTAGAAGCTGAGTTAATTTTATTCTGTTTAAATAATCTTAAGATAAACACTTAAGTATCTAGTAAAAATATAATAAAAACTGGAATTTCTACTTATATACCTCTCGAATGTTTATTGTAAAATTGTAATTTATCCACAATTTCAAGAGGTGTCATTCCCTTTCAACCTAAGATATACCTACCTGAAGGAATGCGACACGATCATTTGTTCTCAGTAGTATAGCGGAAGCGCATTCGCCCAGAAAGCAACAGACGCTGGTATATATCTTGACTAGGCAGTTATATAATACAAACGAAAGCTTATTTTATCGTTACTTGTGGAGAGTTCCTCACCATCCGTCTGTATCAGTACGTTTATTAGCCAAATGGTAGACGTAACGTGACATAAACTCGTATATAAGCGTTTCTATTTCTTCAAATATAATTCATTAGGTAT